CAGCAAAACAATTCAGTTGTTCAGCCAAGAAAAAAGCATGTGACTTTTCCTCATCTCCGGCCCAAACGTCCCAGTCACTGGATATGTGTTTCGTAACTTCTGATAAATGGCTTTTAATAACTCATATTTTGCACTTCTCTAATCAAGCAGTGGAATGAAAGAAAAACTACCTGGCCAAACATCTGGTAGTCATATTCGTAGATCTTGTTGAACTTGGAAAACCCTTCTCGCTAGGAGGAAAAGGAAAGGAAAGTTCATGAGTTTTGGCTCTTAACAGAAACCCAACAAGTTCGGCCTCACTTTATACACGCTGCTATGGCACTCAGGTTCCCAAGAACTCCTTTCACTCAAATGTAATTCTGGTCTAGAAGCACCTTCTGGTTCCTTAGTTTGGAAATACCAAGTAATTATGTAAACCTTTAGAGGTCACATAACAAAGCACTGGAGTGGAGAGATCTTTGATCTCCTCTTCTCCAAACCACAGACTTATTTGTTTATTATGTGAAATCTGGTAAACCCCCGGCACTTGCTGATGTTGCAGAAGCGGTGCTTTTGGACTGGGAGATGCACGCCACAGAGGGTTTCAGTTCCTGAAGCCTTTTGCATGCACTGCAAAGCCAGGAACAACACCAGGAGCCCTCACTGCAGAGCTCAGCACCCGGAGAAGACAGCCTGGGCAGAGGGAGTGCAGCTGGGGAGCCCAATTCCAACAGGACTTAAGTCAGAAGGAAAAGGGCTCTGCGACTCCCAAGTAACTTTGTCTCCCAAGTGGTATTTGTCCACAAAAGCAAGCTGTTCTTGTACCCACACATGGTTAGAAGCGGCCAGAGACAAAAACTGTGCAAGATGTTGCATATGCTGATGTGAACTGCCCGTGCCAAGCTCTGCAGTGTGGGCTGGAGGTACCACACAAGACACTGACTACACCTGAGACCAGGACATCGCTGCACCGTGGCCCTGGTGAGCTGATGCTCTCCAGCCAGCTAAGGCAGACCAATACGTTAATCACGAAGGTGTATTCCTACCCGTCGCATCCTGCTGTTGGAAAGCAGATCCGCAATCCCTCGGGCAGCATCATTCTTCTCAGCCACGCACAGGACCTTCCGGATCCTCTGCAACGCCACATCCTCCGCAGCCCGGGAGAAGAGACGCCAGGGCTGCGGCAGCATCCTGACCCCGCAGCTGGCAAAGAGCCTCGCTTGAAAGTTCATAACCAGAGACGGCGACGGCTCCTGTGGGGCCGAGGCATGCTGCTGTGT